TGCTCACCCTCCGACATCTCAGGTCTCAGGTCTCAACCCGCCGCAGCCCGTCTTTCGATCTCTCGTCTCTCACTCTCACTCTCACGGTCTCACCTTCATTTTTCTGATTCACTATAATATTGTTCCGATTCCTGTGATACTTATTTCAATAGCAGATGTATGTTGAGCTTGTTAATTTCCCTGCTGTCCTTAAGTTCAATATTAAACCAAGTGATGTTGTTGTTCTTGACATTACAGGATAGTTGTTGCTTCCTGCTGGACACTTGGAAATTGGAACGGGAGCATTGAATTTAGTGATCTAATGGAGATTTGATGTGTTTTGTTGTTTATGTTTATTTGGAATTTGGAAGTTCTATTTTGGATTTGGAAACTTAAGCTTGGATGGATGTTTATGGATACTATTTTGGATGAATGTTTATTTTAGATGTTTTATCAACTTTTCTATGATTATTTGCGGTTTTAACCGAACCGAAACATTTTCGGTGCGGGTTTGGTTCGGTTTTTCTTTCAACTTCGGTGTGATTTGGTTTGGACATCTGTATGTTTTATCATTGATCAATTTACATTGACCACTATCAAATAACAAACTTTTTTTGGGAAAACATTAAGTTGTGGCTCGAGCAAACGCTCTTTTTTGTTTATAAATGTGAAGAATGAAACAATAGTGAAGTTTTGATTAATGTGTTGTGTTCGAAGGAAATAAGGATGCACCAAAACAAGGCTGCAACTGCTTATTTTTTTTATTCTTTTTTGGAATAACTGTTACTTGATGTAATTGGGAATTGGTATATATGATTTTGTTTGGCTTATTTCTCTAATGATTTGCCGAGTTTGAGCTCGAGCCCTTATCGAGCAAATTCAAGCTTGGTTCATTAAATCCTTGTACACATAAACAGGCTTGAGTTTGGCTCATTAACGAGACGTATTATGATGAAAATTGTATTTGCTTTCACTAGCTGTCGATAAATCCAACTCATGATCTATTACTCGACTCCACCTCCTCCACCGATATATCATTAAGTTTCATTTCAGATTTCTTCCTAATATGACCTTCGTATTCCTTTCATATGCCCTTCATAAATATCAAGCAAGCTCTGAGTCCCGAAAGGTGCAGCCAAATGTGTTTCTGTAGATGTCGAAGGAGCTATACATAAATATGAAATGTAAGAAAAAGGCATCCTTGGAAATGGATTTGTTGTGATCCATAGTTTATCTTGTTGATGGTTTCAGATATAACAAGACAATTTCACAAATTTGAGTACATGCAGACCATGTGATGTGAGTAATTATATCTATGTAACTTATAAACACATTAACACAGACATGTATCTACACTACATGGACAAGATATTCTTGCAGATAAAGGACATATAAGGTAAAAAAATGTGAAAATTACATTAATTAAAAACTCTATTATTGAGTTTTAACGAGTTAACTAAACGGACTTTAAACGAGGTTCCCTTGCCTTGGCTAATCTTTGTTTGGCATATTTTTGTCCGTTGATCGTCCAACTTAGCTAGGCCTTCTCGATTAGGCGCTGGACATGACTAATGACACCTCGATCGTGCTAAAGTTATTGGCGCTTCTAATTTCTGTATGCAATTTTGGTCTATCCACACCTAAGGCGTACATCAAATGTTTCAAAAGTTTAACGTAAGAACAAATATGGTCACTAATCACGATGACAAAAGTAATTACTGAACTCAGACAAAAATTCAAGTTCTAGTCTGATGATTCGATACTATCGGTGACAATCATTTGATTTTTTTACTATTAGATTAATACATGCATACATACCCACACGAGTAAATATTAATCCAATAGTATAAACTTGTTGACTGCTGATAAACATGAAAATTTTCTAAATTAGACACCTCTCTTTTGTACTACACATGCCAAACTTATATATTCATAAATTTAAATTATAAATAAGACCACAACATACTCAACAGGGATGGATGAAAGTTTTTTCATGTGTCAGATTATCAAATATCTACAAAAACCAAACAGCAGTTACACTTCTAACATACTCAATATGAGGTAACTGCGTGTGGGAGAGACGAAGGTGAGCACTTCATGCCATAAAAAATCATGCTCTCATGATATGCTGTCTCCAAGAAACGTAAAAACTCTCTTTTTGAACACCCGGGCCAAGTCCGTGATTTCGGATTCCCTTACATGCTTTTTCGAGTTCATGTCCTTCCATAACATATTTGCTATCATGGGTCAAAATGTTTGCAATGTCCACTGTAGTGTTCGCGAGCTCCCTCGTGTCTGTCAATGCTCGCAAAACAGGTACTGAGTAATCAGGATGGGACACAAGTCTGTTCAAAAAGATTAGTGCCTCCCGAATAAGCAAGCATTGTTCTTTGACAATGCCAGATTGTTTAGCTGAGTTTAATGCCTCAGGGTCCAGATCTGATGTTAAGCTTTGCAAAAAGGAAGTTGGTGCCTTTTGGAAGCCTATGATTCAGCAAAATCTCAAGGCCCGATTTTCCTGTTGATCCTACGAAAGCTAGGAGAGATATAGCATTTCTTCGAAGCTTCATCTCCTCGGCAGAAGCACTTCTATAACAAGCTAAACAATCGGCCAAGCCAATTAAAATCTCATTCAATCCATTAAAAGTTGAATTATTTCTGTTGGTAATAGCATTGGACATTGCAAGTGCTCCATCTTCTTCATAATTGGAACAAAGCAAAGGTACGACTTTTGGAGAATTATACAGCAGATAAAGAGTATGAACAGCTTGGTCTTGCACAGAAAATCCAGCTTCTTTCCTCAACAAGTTTGATAAACTACGAAAAACAGGCTCCCCAGCAAACCTGTCTCTCTCCAAATACGCATTCTGCCTCACGAGGATCAGATTCATGATTGAAAGTGCTTCACGCCTTATTTGCTTTTCATTGTTTTCAGTGGCAACAACGCAGATAGTCTCAAAGAGGGAAACCAAAAAGGCTCCAGATATAGATGTCCCAAATCTATGATCAAAGAATCCAATGCAGCCCGGGTTTTTAAAATTGGACAACTCCAGTCCAGAGAGAACTCGACCCTGCTTTAACATCTCGGCTACATTTGCAGAACACAACCTTTCACTTTCAGGGTCTTCATTTCCATTTGTATCAGATATTATGTGCGATTTTTCTTCAAAAATAACATTTTCTCTGCTTTTACAATCTTTCTTTTCCAAGCTAAAAGAATTACTCAAAAGATGGTGCAGAATACGAATAGAGCCTCGAACAATAGCAACATTCTTTTTTTTTTTGGTACAATAGACGGAGGCCAAAGCCTAAAGAACCTCTAAATGGTTATAGTCCGTGGTCGAGCGACGCCAACAACGTCGTGAAGGAGCCACGGTTTCACCTCCAGAGGTGGTTCAAACAATCTCTGATGATAACCTACAGGACACGTGTGTGCCAGATTAGCCAGACAATCCGCCGCATAATTAGCTTCACGATAGCAGTGAAACACCTTCACGGACCACTCCCTTCGCAACAACTCTTGAATGGCCCTAACAAGTCCATCGTTCAACCCACAACTCTCATCCGAACTATTCGTTACCAAACTAACCACACTTTGGTTGTCTACTTCTGCCACCACTTTGCGACATCCCAATTCCCATGCTAGCCGGAGGCCTTGAAATAAGCCCCAGAGTTCGGCTCCAGTAATGGTAGCATAGCCAATATTCATTACGAACCCCCCTAACCAATGTCCTTCCTCATCCCGAACAAGGCCACCCGCCGATGCCATCCCTGTAGACCGAATTAAAGATCCATCTGTGTTGATTTAGTCTCGCCCGACAAGGGTGCACTCCAAGCTATCCATTTTACTTGACGTCTCACAAACAAACCACCTAGCCTTTTCTCGGCCTCGACTGCATAATCAATATTCTTCGTGTAGTGGCTTATTTCACGAATCTTGTGCGGGACAATAACTTCACGGCCAGAAAAAATTAATTCATTCCGGCCATTCCAGATTTTCCATGCTGTCACCCCAAAAATCGTCTCCCAGCCTTCCAGTTGTACAATCATCATGTTTGTAAGATTAAAAAGAAGCCACTCCTGTAAGTTGAGTTCAAAAAATTGTACCTGCAGAGAAGCTGGGAGTAGCTTGCTCCAAATTTTACTCGCATTCCGACAATCGCGTAGAGAGTGCAATATTGTCTCTGCTGCCCGGTCACACACAGAGCAAATTGGAGAACTTACCAGGTGGCGCCTATGCCTCTCTTCATTCGTCAAGAGCCTTTCCCGAGCAGCTAACCATAAGAATTGACGCACTCTTTGAGGTCCGACCCACTGCCAAACCGCCTTCCATAAGCCGCCTCGGGACCCATATTCGCAGGGGAGTAATGACCTGTAGGCTGATTTGGTCGTAAATCGGCCCGAATCCGATAATCCCCAGTACACTTCATCTTCGCTTGAAGATTGGTAAGGTGGGAGGACCGAGGCAATGCGCAGTAGAACTCCCGCCGGCAGGACCCGATCAAATAATCTCCAGTTCCATTCCCCTGTAATAGCAACATTCTTTAGATTACAAAGATCAGTCAATGCTCTTAACAGCTCCCCCAGTCAATGCTCTTAACAGCTCCCCCAGTCTTGATGTATCATTACTTATCTGCAACTTGGTCAACACTGATTACAAGTGCGATACTTTTGCAGTTTCCGTGGCCTGCGTACCCCTACTGAAGTCTTTCTGTGGAGAATTCGGGTATCCAAATAGCACATGAAAATCTGCTTCACAAGTCATAAAAAGCTCTGCAACTAGAGCTTTTCCCTGTTTCTGATCATCTGAGTTCCACAGGTTAAATAACTTTTCTGAGCTACGTATACTTGAAGAGCTAAGCTTATCATTTGACGGCTTTGCATTTTGACACTCGTAGATATCCCAGGAGCTGTAGGAATCTCAGCATTCTTCATGGTTTGAAACTCCGCATCTTTTGCCTCGACCTTTGATTGTAAAATTTTGAGCTCATCCTCCTTTTTGTCCTTTTCTTTTCTAAGTTCCAAAATTTCCTGCTCCGGTTGATGAAGTTGCTTTGAGACGCCTTGAAGCTGTTTCTTTAGCCTATCATTTTCTTGCTCCTTAGCAAAGTGGTTAGCAATTGCACAAAAAGAACCGGTGGAATCAGGAACGTCTTCCGCTTGGATGATTTCGCGGGTTCGCTGCGAGAGCTCGCGAGGAGGAGAGTAACTGACGTCACAGGGCGGTACTCGCGGAGCAGCCGGGTGCGTCAGAAACGTCGGCGACAAAAGCAACGACGGCGCGTGGCGAGGGTGCTGGGTGGACAAAGCAAGTTCCTCGGCTTGGACGAGCTGGTCCAGGAAGTCGGCATCCCATTCTTCCACCTCGAAGCTGTCCTCCCACCATAGTTGTAAAGACCGCTCAAA